GTTCTTAGGCATGTCTTTAGGACCATAGGTAGAGCTAATGAGAACCAATTTGCTGTCTCAATGTGACACTGACTTATTGCAGTCTGGATGTACTTAGACTCAAAAATCTGGCATCCACATCAAATGAGGAAATGAACTGTACACATTTGCACTCAAGCAACCAGCAGTAAAGAAAATGCATCATATTTATGCTCAGGAATACATCAATACATAAGGCTACACTACAATGCAGAAGAGAGTAGCCATGCATATCTACACAAGGACATAACAAAACAACATGTATGGGCACGACGAGGGCGAATATGCACGAGCCGGTAGGGACACACACGGCGGAGATGCGCGATCTGGTGGATAGGGGAACGGCGCTGTTGCGGATGTGCGAAGAATGCGCAAGCCGGTGGGGATGTGCGCAGCGTTGTCGAGGATGTGCGACATGCAGCCGCGGGTGTACGACGTGTCGGCGCACAACGCTGGCGGAGATGAGAGCGGATGGGGAGGTGCCCGGCGCTGGTGAGGATGCACGCGGAGGTGGGCGACGCCGTGCAGCCGCGGTGTACGACGTGGGTGTGCACGACGCTGGCGGAGATGCGCGGGCAGCCAGGGAGGTGCACGGCACCGTCATGGGTGTGCGAGTAGGGTGTGCGCGGAAGTGGGGATACGCGAGCTGGTAGCGCGGCGTTGTCGGAGGTGGGCGACGCCGTGCAGCCGCGGATGTACGACGTGTGGGCGCACGACGCTGGCAGAGATGGGCGGGAAGATGGGGAGGTGCACGGCGCTGTCGTGGGTGTGCAAGGACAATGTGCGTGGAGGTGGCAATACGCGAGGAGATGGGGATACGCGAGCTGGTGGGGATGTGCACGGCGATGTCGAAGGTCCACGACGTGCAGCCGCGGATCTACGACGCATGGGCGCACAACGATGGCTTAGATGCGCGAGTGAGCGGGGATGTTGTGGGTATGCGAGGAGGAGGATGTGCGAGGAGGTGGGGATTTGCACGGCGCTGTTGTGGGTGTGCGACGTGAGCGCGCGCGTGCTGGCGTAGACGCGCATGACGCTGATGCAGATGCGCGACGGGGTGGGTGTACAGGGCTAGCGTCGGTGTGCTGCGTGCTGCCGTCGAGGTCGACGTACACGCATCGCTGGCGTGGACGCATAGGTGCGCTGGGTACGAGTAAATGGATGGAATGTGTAACGCACCGTCAAAGTTCATGTCGAACCCTTCCTCCTAACCCGGCGGCGGCGGTCGATGGGAATCATCCAATAGATATGCATGGGGCTGCGCATCGTCTGGTGCGGGACATGCGCGTTAACGCAACGAAGAAAGCAGTAGGGAGGGAACAAAGAAAACCTAGCAAGCACGAGATGGAAAAGACAAGGAAAAGACTTCAGTTTTCGACGCGCGTCGCGCTGTGCAGCGGAGTTCTAAATTCCCACGTGGAAGATTCTCGTAGTTTCTATCGACTACAGCGCTGTCCTCCACAGTCCTGCAGGCCTCACCCGCGCATTTGGACGCCCCACCCCGTTCAGCACTTTCAGCGCTCAGCGTGCTCAGCCAGCGCCAAGTCAACGTGACTATCGACTGGCTCTTGTTTAACGCCCCCACAAGACTATTGCTGCGCTGCATTTGGAACCGGCCCGCTTGGAGTACATAGGTAGTCGGAATAGAATAGACATTGCATTTTGGCACATAATGCCGTCCGAAAGGCTACTGATACGCTCAGATCTTTAGTATGAGCTGTAGAGCCAAAGACATGCAATCAGGCCAAACCACGCTATCTCACTCCACAAAATGCACCCAAAATTTCAGTGTCAGTGCTAGATGTTCGCAATTGGAACTGAACTCCCTAATTCACCCTGCAAATTGGTGCATAGATTATGTGTGTACATTCTAAGGACATATAATTAGGTCTAGGATGTCTGATTTAGAACCTAAAACTTGACTGATCTTGTAGTATCTGTCCTAAATATGTTTAAGCCCCATAATTTAGATGGCACATTACCAACTAAATTGGAGGTGTGCATAATAAGTAGATGTCAATTGCACATAACTAGGCCTAAGCCCTCTAAACAAGAGCTTAAAGGGATGCTAAATTTGCAGTGTCTATGCTAAACATGCCTAATTATTCTCTTATTAGCCAGAGTCCTCTAAATTATGCAGGTTTGTGCAAATTAGCGAAGTGTTAGAGGAGATTAGGATTTTTGATTTTTCCTGATGCACCGGCTTTGCGGAACGCCAGGAAAGAGTCGTAGTGCTCGAGCTTGGCGCTGGCGTTTGTTGCTGGGCCGTACAGGCTGAAGAGCTCGTCGTGCACCACGTCTACATCTCCGCCGCCGTCCGCGCAGCACTTTTCTGCAAACACAAAGCTGGAGAGAGGCAGGTACTCAGTGGCACATTAAGGACGAAATTAAAATAACAACTCACTGCGCCGCCTCCCCCTGGCACTGTGTGATCGCTTGGTCGCCCGTCGGGATGGGATGCAGGCAATCAAATGCCAGGCTACTCGCCACGTTATTAGGATCGGCAGACCCGCAGCCATTCTGACAGCACAGCTGCTCACTGCGCACGCCGGCTATGGTCGCGAACAAAAGCAAGCAGCCAAGCAGGATCGTCACGAGCGTCGACGGTGATGATTTGGTGCTGGTCGCGGAAATCATGGTACTGGATCGCGCGTATGAAACGGAAGAGTATGAGGGGGGAGTAGATGAGAGCGTGGAGATATCCGCAGGCGCTGCTGAAGACGCTTGGAGTGGTGGATGTATGGGCACGTAGATCGAGTGTGCGATCGAGGATGCGAACGAGGGTGATACACAGTGCGGTGCTGCTTGAGACAACTCGCTGCTCTGACATGGCACTTTCTCTGGCGAGACGTCGCTTTATACGCTACCGGTGTGCCTACCGTTGCCGTAGGGTGTGTTATTTTTCGAATTAAATTCAATGGGGATGCGCACTATCGTAGGTTGAAGGTGCAAGAGCTAGCAGCAGCGTTGGCGGACAGTGTCGAAT